GGGCTGGCACGGGGCCGGGCCCGCAAGGAGCCGCGCTCGCGAGACCAGGCTCGGGCTCGGGTTCGCGAGGCTGATTTGTCCGAAGCATGCAAGACGGGGCCGAATCGGGCTCGCGGCGGAAACGGCAGCGGCGAGCCCTCTCGGGTTCGTGGCTTGGCTTACTACTCTGGCGGGCTGAGCCAGGTATGGCCTCGGGTTACTGTACACGCGTAAAGGCTTTCACATCTTAAAAAAATGCAACAACAACAAAAAACGGCGCTCACTCTTATTCTCGTTCGCGTTCGACGTTGCAACTCTTTGAGCCTCTCAAGCTGCTTGAGTTTTTTTCTTCTCTCTTTCTCGTTTTCAAAATAGTCAAGGAAGCTAAAAAAATCTTGTTGCAGTAAGGAGGAACTTCCTAGCCCACTATATTTGCCACGTGGGGTCCAGAGGAGCAACTTCCCTAGTAAGTAGTACAGTATCTTCTTTCAACAACATCCGATTATTTTTTGCTCTATGATCATGTTGAAGATGAGGTTATCATTTAGTACAGTTTCCGCCTTCCGGTTATTTTTTGCGCCTCGTGTCTCAACTTTCTGCCCATTCACCATTAGAACCGAGAGTCCCTGACCATCCGCCGTATTTTGCCTTCTGAAGTCTTCATCTAGGCCATCTAAGACTATCTTATACATCGGATCCACGAGTCTCCGAAACCCGTAGGTAGCAGCTCTCTTCATAGAAGTGTCACCAATTCTTTTCTGCGTGGCAGATGTGTGCGGATAGAAAACTGCCGAGGATTAGAAACGTGCAGATCATAGGTGCAACGGACATTAGGAAACAGCTAAGGACTAACAGCCCGCCATAAATGTAGCGTATCAAGTCTTCGCATTCTTGATTATTGGCAGCCCACTGCATGGCTATTTCTGCTTCTTCTGGCGACATTGTTCCTAAAATGTCAATTTTCTGCAATATTGCAGGTCGATTCTTCGGATCTACATACGACTTCGGAAACGCCGGAGCCGTTGCATGAGGCCAAGGCCCCATGAAGTCTGCGACTTGATGATAGCACATTAGAGATTGGGATCCAAGGGTTAGGAGCGACAAGAAAAAACCTAAAATCTTTGTTGATGCAGAGCAGTTGATGTTGCCATAAGAAATGATTTGGAATATTTGAGTTGTACCATAATTGCATGGCCTTCGAGAAAGTCAAGTCCAAGATAAAGCTGCATCTAACAACTCTGTAGACGTAATTTCACAGAATCAAAAATACACCAGAATCATAACACTGGAACCCTTTTAAAAGGCAATTGGATTTTCGTAGTCGTCTTCAATCGACATCCTTCATCCGTCTGAAGCCACGCTCGATCTGCGGTAATCAACTTTTTCTCCGGATCGTCTTTCAGTCGTAAGACGAAAGGCGTCAGCCCGTCCCGCTCCGCATACCAGCCAGCGTTGTAGACCGTTGCGAGGACAGAAGTACTAGCAGGCGATCCAAGAGGAACATCAAGCCACTGGGGTCCGCTGGGATCGTAGACCTGAGGGAGTACCCGGATATCAGAGAAGTGAGTACCTCAGGCGAGACATGATGGAAATGGTCGCTTTGAATTTGAAACTTAGACTTACTTAATGATATGCCAATTAAAATTATAGCCAATCATCATAATATTAGACGCAGATACACCTTAATCGAACAAGAGTGGTCACAACTATTGCCAGAGTACTATGAGTATTCACATAATTCAGTATCACACATACTGATCATGTACCCAAGTCTCTCCACCACAAAACTCGCCGAAAGCCATGCCCCTAGAGTGTCCCAAATTTCCGTCATCGACGTGCATCTTGCTTGTCCCGTTTTTGTTCAAGGTTATGCTCGTCGCTACGAAGTGTCCCAGTCCAACTTTTTCGAAAATTAGAGGTTGAGCATTCAGGGACAGAACGCGAGTCATTGATGTCATGTTGAAGGTAACATCAGGACTGGTCTAGACGTGACTTCTTTTACCTAGCTATCTACCTCATGAACAACAAGCCACAACTTCTGTCCCTTTACAGGAGGCGGCCGCTTGCCGTCCGCCGTTTCAGTTTCCACCTCCATGCAGGCTAGCAAAAGCATACAAAGCTGCTTCCCATGCTCCTCTCTCATCAGCCTACTGAGCTTGCCGTACGGACGCCAGCTCATGATTCCGAAATTCATGAAGTATCTGAAGAGGAATAGGCTGGGTGACTAGAGTGGTAGTTGAAAGTAGATGCATTTGGAGAGGAAGGTGAGTGTGCGAATAGGGTCGTGTGCGAGAGATGTAGGGATAGTTGTTTGAAGTGATCTTAGTTGCACTCCGGCAGCGCAATCGCATCGACGTCCGCAATGATCATGATATTTTTATGACCAAAGTACAAGCAGGAAGTACACATCTTAAACTACAACAAAACTCGCCAACAAAATCCAGTTGAGTCTTGTCTTGAGTGAGAACATTGTGACCTCTTCTTCTGACTAAACAGTACCTCTTCTTCTTTTTCTCTTTATCTCCTTTGTTTGCCTCTAGCTTGTCATTCTCCAACTTCTCGTCCCACTCGCCACTTGCGTCTTGAAAAACCACATTCCTCGCCTCACTCGCGGGAAACTTCTCCCGATACGCTTCTAGATATTCTCCCACAATCTCGAACTTCACCTTTGGGCCAGTTCTTGCCTTATTCATCTTCGTGTTAGAACTAGCAATAGTTGCCTTGGATGAGGAAGAAGAAGCGGATGATGACGAATATGAGCCTCCATCTTGTCCTCCGGGAACTTGTTGTAGTACTGATCCTCTACTCGGGTCCTCATCGGTCTTCTTTCCGCTATCCAAGGATCGAAAAACGTCACAGACGTCAGCAAAATTTTCCCGCTTTAGGGCATCCGCGATTTGTTCGCGTGCGGTTTTATTGGACCAATCAGCGATCGATTAGAGCTACAAGAGCAAGACAAACAAGTGAAGTAATCCGAAGGTCAATATCAAAGAGGCTTCTAGTATGTACTACGAGAAGGAGGACTCTTCAAACTACAACTAAAACTACTACCACGACTATTCGAAGACGAAAGTTTAAGCAACGGCCGCATTCATAATCAGAAATTGTCCTTTCCTCGTTTTTTGCTGGATCTGCGCGTTCGACTTTATCACGGCCTCGATTTGGAATATCTTCTCCGTCTTCCTCTTCATCCTCGTCTGACCCGGCGCCTTCATCTGCTACTGCATCTTCGGGGTTGTTCTCTTCGGCTACTGCCTTCTTGCCTTTTGCGCCAGTAGTTGTCGCGGCCTTCTTAGATTTCATCTTCGGCGCGCCCTTCATCTTCGCTTTACTAACCTCCGTCTTTTCCTTCTCCCCCTCCACACCTTTGTCTTCGTCTTTCTTCTTGTTGTTATCCTCTTCCTCTTTCTTCTCTACTTGTTCCTTCTCCTTTAGCTTGTTGTCCTTCTCTTTCTTCATCTCTTTCTTCATCGCTACATCAGCAGACTTCTTCATCGCCGCTTGTTTCATCTTAGAGGCGATTGCTTGTTTCCTGTCATCCTCCTCAATCGCCTCTAATAGACCTTCCGGAAGCTTTGCACCGGAACCCAAGTCCTTGGTGAGCTTCGCACCAGGACCAGGGGTCGACTGAGATGGCATGTTTGTCTCAATTATGATGTGTGCTTTTTTTTCACACGAAAAGCTAATGTTGTAAGTAAACGTTGTGTCAAACTGATGTTCTAATTATCGTCGAAGAAACTGCTACTCACTCATGTAATCATATTAAGTGAGAAATTCTATGAAGGACAAGATTTTCGTCATCGATCTCATTGCAGCTAAAAGAAACTAATGCTTGTGGTTCGTGAGTGTTTGGTACCTCAAGCGCCATGTTGTGCGAGCCTCATGACACTCCTCTCTCGAGACAACATGGGACCCTCATCATTTTTGGTGTTTTTCTGAAATACGATTGAGTTGTAGGCCGACTTGACATTGCAATGCTTGAAAGGATTACCATTGATGTCGTGTCACAGGAGCGCCACCAGCGTGGATGTGGAACACAACTACATGTACTTCTAGTAGGATTGGATCATCCGCCCTGAACAAGGTGCTTAGCGATTAGATCCTCTAGTGCCTCCATAATTTGATAGAAGCAAGCTTCAAAAAAGTTGGTTTAGTTCAGCTTTTTTAGGGCGTTCAGAAGAGGGAAGATTGTTATGGTTCTCTAGGTGAGCGTGAGCAGCATCTAAGTACTTCAAGGAACAAAAAAAAGTTCAACATCGGGCACAAAACTTTCGAAGCGACACGAATGAAAGTAAACGAGTTGAATGTTTCATGTTCTAGCGCTATCATCTCAATTTCCATAGTAGCTCAGCACAGAGGACGATTATTTGAATTCGACATGATCTATCTTCATCAGCATCGCCCTCGGGTTTTAGTCCTCACCTAAACGCCCGTCTCCCACCTTGACCTCCTCCCACAGAAGAATTAGATGTCGCCAGATTCGAAGCCGTACCCGAGAACTGCAACACGTTCAACCGACTTGGGGCTAGTGCGATGGCTTGTTTCATCAGGTTTCTAGAACCACTCCTTGACAAACTCCGCTGACCATCGCTTGTCTGTGGACGGTTGAAACGGCTGACCGGTGCGGGGATGGGGGTTGTACCTCGGTTTGTAGGGTGTAGGGTGAAGTGAAAGCAAAAAATTGCAGACGTATGTACGCGACGCATATGGAATGTCATGCGAACGCTCCGTGCTGCGAAGATCCTTACTCGATCACCTAAGAAACTGTATTTTTACGCATTTATTGGATGGGATCATGTCCATTCAATTATTTATTAGTGAAGTAACTAACTTAGAACATGTTTTGCTCGTCCTCCTCCTCGTCAATATCAAACAAAGGACATAACTCGTTGATACCATCTGCTCCCCCAACAGCAACATCGTAGCCTTGTTCTCCCCCTCCTCGTCCATAAAAATTCTTAGCTTCTCTGCCTCTGCTCCTTGCTTCGCCAAAGCTTGCCACACTCGCTGAAGATGTCAATCCGCCTCTACCAGAACCCGTATTACTGGCAGTAAACGAGGTGTTTCCTCGATTAGCACCTCCAACCACACCCCCTACAGGGGTAAAGACCACCCCACTTGATGTAGTTCCGCCACTACAATTTGTAGCAGCATTCGCCGCATTTGCATTATTTCTACTTCTAGCCCCCGTCCCACGGCTCAAACTTCGAGGTCGATTTCGCGGTCCTGGCAGGTTGCCTGCACTGGAGAGCAAATTCGCCTTCAAGTTCGAAACAGAGCTCTTACGAGTCCCTAACGATTTCCGTGATGAGGAAGAAGCCAGAGGAGTTGCATCGCCGTATTCGGGACCGGAGGATTAGGGAGGAGGAGGACAACCGCATCAGATGCTAAGAAGTGATCATACTGATACCGTACGTATACATCCGTACAGGAGCCAGCATCATACTTCAAGAATGAACTTATACTTCTGATTGATGTAACATGAGAGTCGCACACGACCCGTTGTATAAAATCCCAGCCATAACCTTCCAATGTGCTGATCCCTGCTGCGTCGCTCTTTTTCTTCGCCTCAAGACGCGCCAGTTCGTTCCGAGCGGGTTGATTTGAGGGCTCAGCATGCAAAACTGCGTGTAGGTCAGTCAAAGCCTCTGCTAGGAGCTTTTCGTGTTCCACTTCGTCCTCGTAGTACATCTCATCGCGCCGCTCCATGTGGACGACGCTTCGCGCACGAACCAGACGGGCTTCTGTTGCCTGAAGATGATGCTTAGGATTGGGAATATGAAGATGGTTAGGATTAGGATTAAGATTAGGATTAAGATTCAGTAGGATTAAGTAGATTCAGTCCGCCGTCCACAGTTTTACCTGCATACTCAAGCGGATTAGCGCAGCCGTAGGTGGAGGGCTACAACGTCTTAATCAATCCTCAACTACAATCTTCGGATCTATCACGCCCTGTCCAACAATTATTCACTTTCATTTGAAGAGTCCACCTCAGTCAACATCTAAAATACGGGTGGAGCCAAGCTAACTAGGAAGAAAAAGTAAGGTTAGGTAAAATGAAAATGAAAATTTAAATTTGAAGTTGTTTTTATTATTTTACCGATATCCCCGCTTGCGTCAGCCCCTTCACGGCTTGCACTGCACTACAGTGAGCCGAATAAGCGCGTCCCAGATCCAATTGGCAGTTCGCGATACTAACCAACAGCTGACCACGCAATTCCTTCACCTGTTCGCGGTTCTCCCTCTTCATAGCTGGTCCTTCGCCATCCTCATCGTCGTCTCCCGTGGTAGACATGCGCACACCCACACCAGTGAACTGCTCCTTTTGGTATTTTTCTAGTTCCTCAAGGGCGTTCTCGAAATGCTTGAGGGAACCCGCAGCATCACCCTCGCAATAAGCCTCGTTGCCGAGGAGCTCGAGCTCGAGGATGGGTTCCATTTTCGCGATTGACGATTGTACTAGATGCAGCAGTTCAATTGACGATTGTAGATGCAGCTGCTCCTGTTCTGTAAATGTAGATGAAAAAGAAATGTGCCCTGATGATTACAATCAAAACCGGAGGAAAATTGGGAATGTTGATGGGGGACCCTGCGACGAACAATGAATTGCGATGTATGTTGCAAGATGAAACGTACCCGGCCATAGACACCGAAGATTTCAGCGACCGAACGACCAAGCTCACGAAAACGAATAGCTTTTTACGTTTTCTATCTGCTATGCCAATAGGACAATCCAGCGAAAATGAGACCACGCGACCGAGGCGAGTTATTTCGACCCATCCACACTGAACCGAGAATGAGAAACATGATTGAAACCGAAACGATTATTTTTGCCAAGGGGAGTTTCCTAAACGTGCAGTACGATGCTAAACCGATCATATGGAAGTACAAGGCGGAGTACGCCACCAGAAGACACTTCGAGTGCGTCCTTGGGTAGGCAGCTGGTCCTCGTGACAACTCGTGGTCCACGTGTAGTGTTGGCCTGCCATTCTTCTTGACCTTCTAAAAACTGCGACGAAAGTATTGAAAAACTAGTACTTCGCCACAATTCTAGAATAACCTTAACCATGCTCCTTGTCACATCCAACATGACAAATTCAACGCTTTGGCTTTGGCTTTCTTTATATTATAACAGGAGACGTTGACGTGCAACAACGACCATCAATTGCGTCTCAAGGTCTCAAACTCCTCATCATTTCAGCCCTCACTTCTGTCGCCCCCGCAAAGGTCTCCCTAGTTATGTGACACTTCGTTAACAAGTACTCTATGTCATGCACCTTCCAATCTTCAGTGGGCAGCTGCTGCAAAAACAAGATCATCTGCTGGAAGTCCATTTCCCTCAGGTTAGTTTCCCAATGTATGAGAAACGATGAAACCAAAAACGTCAGGAACTGATCGAATTCGGAAGGGTGGTCGTGCAGCTCAGCGATGTAGGTGTCAAATAACCGGATCGTACAGGAGAGAGGCATTTCCCTAGTCAGGAGGCAATTGAACCAGCGAAAGCTCGTGTGGACCATTTCTATTCCCTGTTCTTCTAAGTGCTGACCCAAACCCGAAGTGCTCATCCTCGCTATCAGGCCCTTTAGTTAAAGGCTGAGGCTGACATAGTTCATATTTGCCTTGCGTATTTGACGTGTTTCTTCTTGCAATGTGCCAAATAGAGCGTGCAACTATGAAATCATGCTTCAACCGCCCTTAATTCAAAGCCTGCATCATGCGTTGAATGCCTGGTTGACCTGGAGTGTAGTGATCCTGGATACTATCTAAAAGTTTTGACAGACAAAGGTACGTGTCTGCTTCCACATCAGCTAGCTGTTCTTCAGAAAAGCGGCTTAGAAGCGACGAAGCAAGCTGAACGTTTTCACTAGTAAACGAGGCATTGGTGGGGTCTTGGGCTAGTCGTTCTGCGAGGAAGACGGTGAGGGGATTAGAGATTGAAGAGTCAGTCACTCAGGAAAAAATGATAGAAACTTAAATCATAGGATGATCTTTCTTCCACTTAGAAACTTAAACTCCTGCAGCTTTAAACTCAGTCCTCGATGATCATGTCTACTTCATGTCGATTCAAAAACGAGGACACGTCACAACTGTGATACAGAGACGTAGATAGATAGATAGATAGATAGATGGATGTACCCACGACTCACGGGGAATAATAGATCTTTTATAATGAGAAGTTGCTTCTCCCATCTTCCATAGGAAATGGCGGCAGCAAGTCATTTATGCCCTGCACGTAGCCGCACGCGGGTCGTCGTATTGCCCACACAAACAGTATCCGTTCCATCATTTGCTGTATTCTTTTTTCTTGGAGTAGGTGCCTTGAATTAAAGCTCAGCATTCATTGGTCACTGATGCTGAAAGAAAAGGGCCCTTTACCCCTCTACTTGTTCTCCCTGTGTTTTCCCCGTTCTCTCGAGGGGTCGCCTCTTCGATCTCAGTGACCCCAATCTCAATGGTGACCACTGAAAGTTGAGCCTTAATTGAAGATGATGCTCCGTCTGGAGGTCCACGACCTACATCCATATGATCCTCTTTGCATCTGCCATAGGAAGTTCTTGGAAGATCCACACGAATTTGCCGGATTAAAGGTTGCTCGTCCTCATCTAAATCGCGAAAATTGTACTCGCGATTTACTAGGTCGTGGTATTCGCGCCGTTTGCGAGCGAGAGTGGAATGGTGCCTGAAGAAATTATTAAATGGAGGTTGTGGAGAAGGAGAACGGAAATCACAATTTTTAAGTACTTTATGCCTCCGCCTTGGTATGGACATCGAGGATGTGTATGGAGATCAAATATGCCTCCGCCCCCTCGGCACTTTGTCTTTGCTGGTAGTTGTGATTGGATATTAAGAGAACAATCAAGTTAGCGGAAGAAATCGAACAATACCTCTCTCTCGCATTCGGCGCAATCCCTAAGAGAAGCCGCCATGTCGTTGCCCGTAATTGCGGATGCTCACCCGGTGCGCCTGACCACAGTAACCTCGCCAATTCTTTGAGATCGACGATGCGGACGAAGTCACTGCTTTGTTGTAAAGCGCCGATGTCATCGGAGAAGGTTAGAGGTTGTACATTCAGCAGCTACATCAACAAGAACTGCCTTCTAGTAGAGTCTACGAAGATCAATCATCTGGTGCTCTATGAATCTTTCACTTTGTCTTTCAAAACAAAAGAAAAACTTTAAAAACTAAAACATGATCATTTGTCACTCGTCGTCGAAATTATGGAAATATTAGTACCGTTTGTATTTTCGCCATACCACCTCATCCGCCGAGTCTTGTCGTAGTTTCTGCGTGAAATACTCTTGATCCTCTGGCGAGAGAAAGGAATGCAGCAACTTCACATATTTCGTTACTTTGGTATTCGTAGACCTCGATGAGGACGACGCGGCGCTTGTTCCTACTAGAGGGCCGCCTGGCGATCCTGCGTTTGTAGAGGTAGGCTGGTGTTGATGTTCAGCATCACTAGTCTGAGACCCGACTAGACTGCGTAAAAACTGCATTTTTTTCACGTCTGCTTGATTCTCATTCAATGAAAATGAAACAAAGTAGATCCATCAACAAAAAGAGTTGCTTGATGACTTCAAACTCCCTTTAGATGAAGTTGGTGGTCTATCTCCATCGCGGGTACGGAGTACCAACAGATCGACTTCGCTAGGTATTTTCAAAATGCCAAATTGCTCGTGCGACATTTGTTTGTGACTGAACTCTTGCTCCATCCACTAGTCGCAGTACTTGTTCTCTAGTACTCTCTCTTTTTTCGAATTCTGCAGGCATGGCAAAATCTTGTTCTTGCAAGTCTTCCTTTCATTACGCTAACATCTCCTCCACATTAGACCAGTCGCGGGTTGAACAGCCAACAACACGTAGTTCCACAGACATCTCATTCATCTCAGAAGCACACGTACTGGTGATGCATGCAGCATGAGCATCAGAACATATTTATTTGCTTTCAATAAACGAGGTTATGCGCAAGAATGGAATAAAGTGGTTTGCTGGGTATTGGGGGAATGGGAATCAAAAATCAGCAAAATTTGAATGAGTGCTCATATCATCTACGTTTTTCTTATTCGTCAGGCAGAGTACTCTAAGTTATTTCTTCTTCCTCCCCTTCCATCCAGATGCTTTCGCTCCAGCTTTCTTAGTGGTCCAGGTACCTCCTGTTTTTTTCCAACCTGATTTCTTGACACCTCCTCCACCCCCGCTCTTGAAATTGCTGCTTTTGAAGTTACTATTTCCACCTCCACCACCTCTTGAAGAACTCGACGGTCCGCCAGATGTGTAATTCCCACCGATTCCAGTCAAGTCTGCACCTCCATTAGGACCTATGGCTTTCGGCGCGTTACTGGCAGGACCGAAGAAAAACTCAACGCCTGGCTTCTTCTTCTTTTTCCTCTTAGCGGCTGCTGCTTTACCACTCGCGTCGCCTAGTTTTTCGTCTTTTGTTTTACGTGCTTTGGAGCTGGCGAATCCGCCACCACGCTTGGTCTTCTTCCCTCCTCCACCATCTGGATTATCATCATCGTCATCGCCATCTTCATCATCGTCCTCATCGGATGAGGAGTCCGAGTCATCATCGTCGTCGCGACCAGATGCGGTTTTGTAAGAAGACACATAGTCAGGCACTGCGATTACGGATACGTGCTCGGGTCGTAGCATGAGGAGGCCTCTGCGAACTGGAATCATCTGATTCTGATTGTTTCCACTATAATTGCTCAAAGTACTTGTTCTGCCAACTTGCGAAGATGAAAGTAAAAACTTGCATCCTGGCAAGGACAGCTCATTCGGCAGATTCTTTTTCTCGAGTCCAAAGCAAGTTGTATGACCGTCTGTAAAACAGAACTTCCGCGTTCGTTTCTTCGGCAGTCGCTTCAACCGCTTGGAGTAGGCTTTGAACGCTTTATAGTGGACAGCAGTTGAAGTTGAAGATTGCGCATGTTGTTGTTGCTGATCTCCGCCAGCACCATCGTTCACATTCTGTTGCCCCCCAGAAGGACCGATATCAGGTGCTTTATCCTCGTCTTCTTTCTTCTTCTCTTTCAACAGACTCTCACTGATCAACACAGTGTCTAGGACTTGCAGCAGATGTTGCTGTGCTGGGTTTTCATGCAGCGACATATTCCCTTCAACAAAATCCCGCTCACCTATGTCCGGCCGCAGCGTTCCCTTCGCCATGTTTAAACGCAAGTCTTGACCAAGGAAGATTTGTAGAAGCTGGTCTGCCCAAGTAGAATTGCTAGAAGAAGTGTTACTTCTTGTTCCACGACCACTGCCAAGAAGAGTTGTCAAGCTTAAACTACTGCTCAACATAGTGTTGTCTACAGCATAGCACATGTCCGACACCCTCTGTGGGATAAGCTGCCACCCCCGTTGGCGGAACAGGGCTAAGGCTTCGTTGGTGCGAGGATGTTGTCGTGCGGACGAGGAGGATGACGATGTGCTAGCGACTTGTTGAGGTTGTTGTGGAAGTTGCTGCGGAATCGCATGTTGTGCATGTTGCTGCTGCTGGTGTCCAAGTAATCCACCTGCAGCTGCGGATAACGACGGCGATGATGAGGATGCACCTCCACCTCCGAGGACAAGCCCTCCTGGCGCTGCACCAGCGAAAGCTGCATGTTGTTGCTGATGTTGCGGATGTTGAAGTAAAGAAGATGATGACGAAGATGCACCACCACCTAAGATCCTCTGTGGTGGGATAAACGGCCTTTGGACTGCGGATGATGAAGATGAAGAGTTTCCGAAGACATGCTGCTGTCCGGAGATCAATGCAGAAGGGTTCATTTTTCTCGGGAGGCTACAGCATCTAGGTTGGAACAAAGGTTTCGTTCTTGACAGATAGCGAAACTGAAGAAGCTAATGCATTGATTAGCTAGTCCTTTTTAGTCTACTTCATCAATTAAATGCTTGTAAAATAAATGGGGTTTGCACTCGTGCCTGTCCTCGTCTTGTTTTCCGCAACATCATTTGATGTTTTAGTTTTTCTCGAACTTGACGAGATAGATTCAATAGGCCTGCTGTTCCTATTCGTATTCAGCATTCGCATTGTGTTCTATAAAACTGCTTCAAAACTGTCAGCCCAGTAGGAGTAGCTGCTTGACGAGAACATGACAATGACATGGCGTTGACAATGACATCCATGGCGTTCTAAAAAATGGTGGCATTACAGCTGCACTTCGGTTCATCGTAGAGCTTAATAGCTCCGCGATTAAGTAGTCGAAAATTTCTCTTTTTTGCAACATCCTTCTTGGTGGGCGCAACAAGATTAATAAAAGATTCGATGGAAACTCAGTTCCTGCGAGCCAAAATTGGAGCCCTCGTTTCCGAGGGAACACCTACAGAAAATGTGTAGAAAAAAGTGGAATTATGCCTACTCTACATCCGTTCATTTGATTAGAACGCCTCACTTTCTATTAATTTCTAGTTAGAAATAGAAAAACTAAAAGTAAAACTCAGCTATCAACGCGATAAAAACATCACAAAACCCAATCACGAATTCCTTTTCGAGCACCAGCGCGGGCAAGCGCGACACTGTGCCACTGTGACTCTTTATATTTACACAAGTACAAGGACGAGCGAAGGTGACACGATGAAATAAGAAGTGAAATCTCATCTACTGCTCTGTATCTAGAAGTACTAGCTGGACACAAGTACCGTAGGGAAGAGACTGATGGAACTCGGCAAGGAAGACCAGCCAGTAGTCGTGTCGTGGTAAGACCCACGTTTCTTGATTGATCTTGTGATTACATCCTTTGGGATTGGGTACAAGAAACATATAGAAAGTCGTTAGATTTAGATTTTTCAGATTATATGGGAAGATGTTAGAGTATCAGAGGCTTCTGTAACTCCAAGACCAAGTGTTACTCTGCGTAAAGATTTAGGGCTGATCTCTCTTCGTAGCTGTCAGCCAGCTACCCAACAGTCGGAAACCCCGCACAGAAGTCGCTCACCTCTTTCTTTAGCAACGTCAAATTCGCAGGTTGTTCCTTTTCAATATACTCCGAGAAGTGTGCCAGTTTGGGTCCTGATTTTTGCTGGATCTCATCTGCGATCCTCACCGCTTGATCCATGAAGACGGCTACCTGCTCAAAGTCAGCCTCCTTGAAACCGCGGGTCGTCATGGCTGGCGTGCCGACGCGAAGACCGGAGGGGGGAATTAGAGGGAATCGATGAAATGAGGATTTTTAGTACATCTTGATGTTGACGACGACTACGAGAAGTTCTCAATGTCGTTCGATGCTCTGCTTATCACAAGCATGTCGTAAGTTCAAAGCCGACGTATCCAAAGGCACCGTGTTTTTGTTCAAAACAATGTTCGCCAATTCGCAAATCCGTTCCCCCTTTGCACCAGTTACGCCTCGGCTTTTCTTCAGGTCGATCAGGATTAAGTGGTTGTCGGTTCCTCCGGAGACCAAATCGTATCCTAGTTGTTGTAGTGCTTTGGCAAAAGCTGCACTGTTGCTTACGATTTGCTTTTGATATTCTCGAAATTCAGGTGTCTGAGCCATCTTCAGAGCGACGGCCAAAGCCGTGATACTATGGTTGTGAGGACCACCTTGGAGACCGGGGAAAACAGCTTCGTTGATCTGTCGTGTTGTGGGGTTGTGGAAGAGGAAGTAAGAGATGTTGAGTAGGAAGTGTGAATTTTTCACTACATCCTTCTCCTTCTAGTCCTATCATTCATGTTCATCATCAGGCCACTGCTCATGATGTTCGGTTTTACTCGTTGATAGTACAGCTACGGCTCTAAACTAAGCATCGTCATTCAAACACCTTTTCCTTCTAGTACTACCTCCATTCATGTTCATCATCATCAGCAATAAAAAACTACAGTTGAAAATAAGAACGGTACCTTGCTCTCGAAGTCGTACATGATCTTCTTTCCCTTCTTGTTCAGCCCTTTTTCGCCAATCCGGTAGAAGATCAAGCTTCCTCTTGGGCCCCTTAGGCTTTTGTGCGTGGTCGACGTGACGACATCGGCATAGTCGAAGGGCGATTCTATAGCTTTCCCTGCTACCAGACCGCTAATATGAGCCATATCGTAGTGCATGATGGCGCCCACATCGTCACATACGTCTCGAAATTTTTTGTAGTCGACCTTGCGACTATAAGCGGTCGTGCCTGCGATGATCAGCTTCGGGAGGTATGAAGGAGGGTAAAAGAAGTACTAGTAAAAGAGCAGGGGTCTGGAGGGGGTGAGAACATTCATAATATTTTTCTCTAGACTTATTTTTACAATACACAATTATCTCTATCATTTTCATCATTTCTCCAAACCATAAGCGAAACCTTCCCGCAAAAAGCGCTAATTCGTCGTAATCGATGTAACCAGTGTTGACGTCCAACCTATAAGGGAGCGTCTCCCAGAACCTGCTCACCATGGATATCTTCTTCGTATCGGTCTGAAAGCCGTGGGATAAGTGGCCTCCGTGTGGTAAGTCAAGGCCCATGATTCTTTCCTTAGAAGAGGTAGTTGTAGAGGAGCTTCAGAACGAGAATTATATATACGTAGTTGGTAGTTGATGATGTACATATATTTCTCTATTAAGTAAAACCACAGTTACTAGAAACTCCATCAAGCAAGGAAAAGAGACAGCACAAAGGTCTGATGAATTTGAGAAGCAGGTGAAACAACGATAATTATCATGTCGTGAGTCACTCTTGTTCATCAACAAATGCTAATCCACAAATCATAATTCCATGTGGCGGCACCAGTGCAGTAAACACAGCAAAGTTGGCTGGTGAGCCTGAGTAGACTTGGACATTGACACCCCATTTCGCAGGATCGAGGTCAAAAGCCTCCAATGCGCGTTTCTGACAAAGTAATTCTGCCTCATCGATAATGGCGTTGCCGCCGTAGTACCTGTTGAGAGGTTGAAAGTGAGATGATCCTTGAACAAGAAGGAGCAGGAAGAAGTAAAATTAGTGGTCCAGCCGCTGGAGGTCCAGCTTGATGTTCCTAAATGCTGCTGGAGGTCCTTGTCCTTCTTCTGTACTATCTTCTTCAAAATAGAATTACCTTGCTCCCGGATATCCTTCCGAGTATTTGTTTTGCATTACACTCCCCAGTGCATCCAAAACTGCCTTCGACGTGAAGTTCTCTGACGCTATAAGGTTGATCGCGTGCTTCTGTCTCGCTTTCTCCCTTTCAATAATGCTGAAGACCTCAGCATCTGTCTCGCTCAGTGGTGCATTCAGGCTGGATGTGGAAGAAAAGGCACGAGGATGGGGAACTAGAACTACATGAGCCCGTTTTGATTTAGAGGTCGTTGCGACATTTTTGCATTCTTCAGAACTACATCTTCGCTGACTTCTTTCTTACATACTGGGAAAAGACGAGTCAGGGATCATGTAGTTCGTGCAGGAGGATTTATAATGTGGAAACCCTTAATTGACGATGTTCCAGCACTACGATGCACCTTTGATGATGTCCCTGCAATCCTCGAAGATATCGAAGAAGAGGAGGAAGCAGAGGAGCCGCCTCTACTCAGGTGTGGACCCAGCTGTGAGGCTCGTGCGCCGGTCGTGAGTCTTTGCGCGAACATCTTGCTCATTTGTAGTTTCTGATTATAGATAGATTTTGTTTCCGGGAAATAAAGGAGAAAACTACATTTAAAAATAGACAACTTTATTATTGTGCAATTAAGGTTTAGGGTCGTTATAATGTGAGTGGACTAAGGTGAGTTGTTATGCAATTTTTAAGCTTAGAGTGCACTGATTCTTTGTTGATGGTTCAAAGGGCGAAAAAGAAAATGCAGCTGCAGATCGTGCAGTCGTCCAAACTACAACAACGAGGATTATGAATTCAACACGTCTTTCAATTTTTTCAGTTTGAAGACGACCAGGTGGGAAGCAGATGGGGAAAATTTATTAAATGCTTGTTCTTCCCTCGTCAAAGGTACTAGCAAATGACCAATTTGACTGTACTAGTATGTTCAATTCATTGTCCTCCTCACTGTTTGAAAAATCTCGGCAGTGTTTGAAAAAGAAAAATTTTCAAATCAATGTCAGTCTAGGTAAAAGTCTTCACTCTACTTCTCTCGTTGTTCTCACAAAGCAAGTTGTATGCGCGAACACGGATTTGTCGAGAAGAAGACATCCGTTTTTAAACAGCAAAATAAGAGTCTCTTCGTCTCAATTCTGAATTCATCCGTTACTTTTTACCATTCGATTTTATTTCAGGTGTTAGTACTAACGTCGAAAGTTCTTCATCGAGCATCATGAGTCGAATGTTTATTTCGAGATATTAACCATGCGAAGATTCGAGTTTTACTAGATGAGATACATTGTCTATGCAAATCTCTGAGTACAAGAGATTTTTTTTGTGTTCATCGATCTTGGGGGTTTTGGTAAATACTTAGATTCTTCATTACATGCTAGTACATTCATTTTATGTAGACAACCCCCAAGAAGACGATACACGCCTTTATCATTATCTTTTGAATCTACTGAGTGCGGCGCTTTGATTATATCTGCAGCTACATCAGTCGCCTCTTGTCTACGCCATGAGTTTCGTGTGATGTTGTACTCTATAAAAGGGGTTTTTTGAGAGTCTCTGAGAGTCTCCTCAAGCCTAAGTCTTTTTTGCTTGTCGAAAAAACTTACGATCGTGAGGTAAAAGACCAGCTTCTCTATTTTCAGCGTCGTTAGATTTATGTGTCTCACGATTAAATCTAGTTTTTCCATGATGTTCATGACGCCGCGGTGCTCCCATGATCGCGGTCATGCTGTACTAATAAACTTAATACTGATCTTTGTGTAGGACGACTACAGCCGGCGTTAGTACTGCTTTCTGCCTGCTGTAGAGGTCGTAATTGTCAAGAAGAAAATCGCATTATAATAGGAAGAACTGTCGATTCTAAAAATCTGTGTTAATCTTATCAAAATCTATTCATCATCATGATCATCGGTTGCTTTTATTGCGATAACAAGGGAATCGTACTTAGAACAAGTTGTATTTTTCCGTTCCTGGGTCAGCATATTACTAGATTTAGAGCAGGTAAGCACTCAACCACTTAGTCATCAACAAGGCGTACTTAATTCTGCTCCCCTAAATAGTAGTTGCTGACCTTGCTCAGACGTTTTGTCTCCTTCAAATAAAGCATCATCCTCTCCTGGATGGCTGCCTCGGTCTTCTCCTCATCCGCCAGCATTCGCTTATCTCGAAGGGCTTTTCTTAGAGGTAGTGGGAGGAGCCCTATACAATACAATACAATGCAATTTATCTCGCTTTTTTTTTTTTTGTAGTGCGAGCGAGTTCCGATAAGTCAAAACCTACCCGCGTATTTTGCGAGCGAGTTCCGATAAATCAAATCCTACCTGCGTATTTTTCGCACAAAGTTCAGTGCAGACTGCCACAAGTAGTAAGATTGATGTGGTCTCCCGTGAATAATCAAAGTGTGGTCTCACCCGTGAATAATCAAGTAAGATTGATGTGGTCTCGGTCGGTAACATGTGAACACGTGAAAAATAAAGAGCTGCAGGACGCCATTTCTCGTCCCTGGGATGGATCGTCCGAAAAGCGACTTTATCGGGAAGATCAAAACCACACCAAATCACAAATGAACCATAACTTCTTCGTCTCTGCCACGAACTTGTGAAAGAATTCGTCATGGAAAAACGCTCCAGCCCACGAATCGGACAAAAATTCGATCAAATCGAAATGCTCTCCTGCTGCCATAGCAGATGCATAGCGCGTGTGGAGCTTGTTCAGGTATTAGAGCTACCGCGTTAGCATCCCTGGGTACATACATCCTGCTTGGCCCATTTTTCAAGTAGAAACAGGGCCAAGATGAATGAGGATGCTGAGGATGCTTCCGCGGTTGTAGCCGTAAAGATAACTCAGATGCGTTCCGACTATGTGGAAGAGAGCGTGCTTGTGGAGTTCTTGATACCCTAGGTAGAGGAACTCGGTCACGTGCATGCGTGAGGGGTTGTACCTGGAGGTCATGGGAGATGTTGGTTCACCTTCGTTTTTTCTTTGCGTGGCAATTGTGGTGGATATGGATAAAATGTCGCTTTGTGTTTAGGACCAACTAGGTAGGACCAACTAGTAGGGAAAAAGAAAATTAAGAACAAAATAATATTACCCCTGTATACTTACTGCATAGAGAAAAGATAAGTCTAGCTCCTCCTGGGAAATGATCGCAACCACAAGTACTAGATGAAGTTGTACCTTATAATGCACAAGTGTCCGGTAAAGAAGTCCAGATCTAGGGTGTCCGTGATCATTTCCTCAGGTGGCGTGTCTGCGAGGACGCCTCTTGGCACTACGACTTGGTAATATTTGAGTCCTCCGGGAAGGACTCCACCTCGCAGAATCGGCATGTTAAGCTTCTTGTAGGAGAAGGAGGTTAGAGATAGAGTTTGCTTTGATGTTTTTATAAATATTTTGACTAAGTAAGACTAAGTAAGTCTAAGATGCTCATGATGCTGTTTCGCGGCTTCTATTCAAGAATATTTCACTCTCTAGCTCTACAATCTGATGACGTATCGCAAATCTTCCGGAAAACACAGAACCTCCTCAAGTGTCATTTGTCCTTAACTTCTCACTGCTACTACTTGACGCCGTCGCTCCATCTCCCGCACTACCGTGTAACGCTTTCTCCAGTACTGCTTCCGCTAGGTACTTCCCCACCTCGCTTCCGTTGTAGCCATCGTGCCTGAGCAGTCTGCGGTCTGGCACGTGTTCTTTCTGCGCAGACCTCTCGAATTCAGCCAAAGGTCCTGCTGCAAATATGCGCTCGTCCGTCGTCTGGAAAGAGTTGTCTACTATGAGCCCTCCATCATAGACGAGACCGTTACCATGTAGTGCATTGAAGATGTCTGGGTCCACGTCCTTCTGGTCCGCAGTGAGGAGTATCCTACAAGGCATTGCTATGAAACCAAAATATGTTATCATTATCATACTTTTCTACTTAAAAAACTTGATAATGATAACAGATTTTCTTTTCATAATTGCGCATTCTCTTCGACCTGACGCAGAACGAGTCTCTAGGAAGTTGAGACCGGGCTCCTTGTTCTCCTCGTATTCCTCTAAAATAATGGAACTAAGGCGGTCGCGACCGTCTAATTCAACACGGTTAAGCTTGAAACCTGTATGAAACGGTTGAGATGAATATCATCGATCTTGTCTACTAGTCTTTGCTTTATTTTTTAAACAGCTTGAAGGAGTCAACATCATACGCAAGCTCAATAAATAGCATGCCAGAATGGTCGTGGTCGTGCCTACTACTTCTACATGCTACAAGTACTAGAGCATACAACAATCTGGTGAGCGTACCACTTCTATACATAAGAACAGACATCAGAGTACCCTTGTATATCTTAATCTGCTTCCGGGCCAAGACGTCCTCCATCTTTGCTGCTATCTCCTTTGGTAGCACCTCTTCGTCTTCTTGGGGTGGCTGGACTAGGATGATCTTGGAACTGGGCACATTCCTCAGAAACAAGCCCTGAACTGCGGTGTAGACCTCAAGGCTCCATCCATACACGCAGATAACGGTCAAGGGGTTCCAGATCAAAGCGAGGGTTAGAGAGTATGCGTGTGGATCAAAAAACTTCTTGTTATGCGAATACAATTAATCGACATCGAAGTACCTCCTGTGTGTGGCGATTCCTAGACGTAGGATGGAATCACCAAGAAGCAATTTGACGCCTCCAGCAAAGCCGCGACTATGTAGGGGTCCAGAAGAAAAGCCAAGAAGCGGTTCTTAGTCCGTGAGGCTAGTTGAAACAGCTTCGTGAAGACGCTCGGCATCAATAGGGAAGCGAAAAACAACAAGTTCCTACCTCCTGTGTGTGGCGATTCCTAGACGTAGGGGAATAATTGAAGCATTTTAATCCAAGAAAGAGAGTAATGCATTCCTAAAGATGCTGGTTTTCTTTTTGGCAAAGGAACGGACGAAATAATTATTGCAGCTGCAGTGAGCGCAGATGAAATAAGATAAACGACTTAACAAAGTTAATATTGCTACTTAAATCATCTGCTTGTTCGTAACTTCACAAATGTCCCGCTCTGTGCAAAGAAGTCCGCTAATCTTGGATCCCCCACTGACAGAACGCCATTCACAGTTGCTGGCTCATCTCCAAACAGCACTGGTCGGGTTACCTCTAGTCTCTCCTCCTCTAGTCGTTCTGCATCAGCTCTAGCCTTTGCCGCTAGCAGCTCTGCATCAGCATCTTGCCGCTCGCGACTTGTGCCTTTCCTCTTGCTGTTTTCTCGTGATTGAGCACGACTACGATCCCAGATTAGACGAGGATGATGTCGTGCGTGGGGAGTTCTAACTACTACTGGTAGCAGCAGTTACTACCTGTAGTTACGACGGGAACTAGCATGCATTTCTTGTGTCGCGTCATGGTCATTCAGACCAGTGAGAATGAAGATATTTCCTCCATTCGTCCAACTGATTCAAATATAAGTATCAAAGCCAACTGGCAGCTCGCATATTACCAGCAGCAGCTAGAAGACCGAAATAAAATGCCCCACCTAGAGGACCGAGCAGATAAAATCCACATGCTCAAGTCATAACCTCTCCTCCTTCTCCGTCACTGCCTCCCTCTTCTTCCTGACAAGTGCTTCGGCTTTCACTTGCGCCGTCTCTATCTGCCATATCGCGAGTCTATCGAACCCGTAACTCCGCAAACCAATCGTAGGTAACGATAACGTGCAGTCCTGGAGGCCAGGAGTAAGCACTAAAAAGTCATAAGGAAGCAAGGCATGCCTATCGTTATCCAGAACGAGGGATCTCTGAGCGCGGTCAATCTCTTTGACGCGACCTCGAATAAAGCGGACTCTGACGTCGGCTTTAAGTCTTCGTAGAATATTCGGGTCTATTTCGGATAGTGCACGCAAAGACGGAGCCTTGGAACTGCCGCTAATCGGACTGTGGAGGAAGATTTTGTGGAGGTAGTTTCTTGAAAAATTATGGATACTTTTGTTCTGGAGAATTATGGTGCCACAAGTACTAGGTATGTTCTAGTCCCCCTGATGTACAGAAAACTACTACCTTATCCAGAATGCAACGTGGAGGTCAAAGTCAAACTAAATAAAAATACTCTACTCAAGAATTATATATAAGTACTTCAGTTCCGGCGCCACCAGAGTCAAGGAGTTGAACTGCAGATGCTGGTACTGCGGCATCAGTAGCGCTAGCAAGAAGCTGAGGCCTGTGTTACTAGCTCCCACTACTACTATCCTAGCGTTCACTGCTAGTTTCGGTTGCGATAGGAGTGGCCTCGATACTAGCGAAAGGCCGTTCTTCACAGCATGTTGCATTTAGAGGTAGGTTTTTGGTGCTCGCGGGTTCCCCCGCTTTTTATGCATTTCTCCCTTAGGAGAGGCATAAAAAGCGGTAAGAAAAGCACCTTTAACCTACCCTTAATGCATTATCCTTTCTCTCTTTTGGAAGTCTAGTTCTTGCTGCACCGGCTCGAGAGGAAGACTGGCAAAAGTCGCGGCCTTTTGTTGTAGTGAGTGAAGAATAGTTCTGGAATTATTTGGTAGCCTCCTTTTGAAGATCACAAGGGCAAGCAACAAGAGAACCCTTGGGATCGAATTCTTTCAGGTTCCCGAATACCAGAACAGTGCAGTAAGTTGTATTTCATGTGGTACTGATAAAATGGTATGTTGTTGGTCGTGCATGTCTATTGAAAATATTTGTTCTGATGACACGACTTCTTTTGGAAAGTTGCTGAACTATAAAACGAACCTCATTGAATTTAATGATCACCCAATGCAAGTTGTTGAATTTATCGATGTGAAAGTATTGTTCTATTGATTTACCTCTGCTTTAATAGTGCTCGGCCTTCCTCCGACGATCAAACACGGCTCTGTCCTTGGAGGTATCTGCGTCATCTCCTTGACAACTTGACTCAAAGGCAGCACATTCCCATCCGCATCCACATCCCTCCGGAAGCTCGATCGCTCCATCTCTTGCTTTTGCAGGCTTTAGATGAGCACGAAAGGTAGTAGAACTAGGAGACTGGAGCTTTTTACACACGTACTAGTTTCTCTTGCGTGATTCTTGAATATCATCAAACTACTCAAATTCAAAAGTTCAAGTCCACCGAGCACACAAGGACATAAGCTTTCTCTTTCGCCTCTGCTTCTGCTTGTGCTTGTTTTTCTCTCTCCCCCGCGCTTTGCCTCAGGGCAAGGACTTCCTTTTTCGATAGACCTGGTGGTATAGCGGCAGGCTGCGAAGATCCCGCTGAAGTGAGTGACGTATTACGACCGACGCCAGCACCTTTGGGTGAGCCTGGAGTGAGGCCCAACTTGTCTTCTGACTCCTGCTTAGCCCTGTCCGCTTTCTCCTCTGCTGTGAGTGGTAGCAATCTGCTCTCGTACAACAAACAGGTCAACCCGGTCAAAAGTTGGACTTGATGAAGCACTTTCTTTCGGTATATTTAGAGGTAGAGTCGTTTTGGTGGTCGCTCTTACTTCCCGTTTGTTATGCTCTTACTTCCCCTCTGGGAGAGTCAAAACAAACGGCTGTAACACGAACACCTCCTAAAACCTACCCTTAATATATGTTGAAAATCGGGTTGAGAACGAAAAAATCGACGAATCCAAAAGTGTTCATCTCTGGTATGCACGCTCTGTCGACATGGTAGACACATCTGAGACTATTCAGATACGTCTTCTGTGCTGGTGAAGTGCCGACTACGCCGATGACTTGGCCGTCAAATTCTACTAGCAATGTTAAAGGTCGAAAGTCAGTGATCACTGATGCCGAAGGGACAACCGAGGCCCCTTGCAGAGCTTATTTCTCCTTTTCCCTTCATCTATTTCCCCTGTTCTCTCACGGGAGACCCTCGTCCTCGATCTCAGTGACCCCAAAAATCTAAAAAATGCCTGGTGACCCCAAAAACCTAAATGGTGACACGAGCCTTAACAATGTCTCCGCCTCGTCATCGCCTAATGCTGCTTGAATACTTTCGGCCACAGTATCGACATCGTCCATGCCCTCAATGACCTTTTCTACTCGTTCGACGTCCTCCCCACTAGACAAGTGTCGGACTGTTGGTGAAACCGTCGTTGCGCAGCAAGCGCGATGGAGCACGAAAAGCACATGCCCAAAAGTATTGCTGGCACGAGGCGTGACTATGCTAAACTGCGACAAAAAAGGCGTCATCTGCGATGTGTGCGGCTGGGTGATCACGCAGTAATCCTTTTCCGGAAACAGCGCAAATGCCGGCACTAAAAAGTCACTACTTCGATGCGCAATAGATTCGTCGACGCAGAACAGGTTCACGCAGAAGAAATCCTTCATCATGTCTGGCACCCCAAAAAGCCAGCTAGGGCTTTCGTGATGGTTGATGAAGATGTCGTCCTCTTTATTGGAGATCTCCTCCAACGCTGTTTTCATTGTCTCGCTGTCCACCATGTCAATCGCCGACAAACACGATACACCAGCCTTGTCTCCCCACCAATGTACTAGAAGAAGTAAATCCGTCGCTTCGTCTTTGGTGAGAAGTGGTGGCGTCTTCTTGTCACTGTCCTGAATGTTCTTCGGATCCAACAGTTCCTCATAGCCCTTGCTCTTGGACGCTTTCTCTTTGCTGCCCTTCTTCATCACGCTGGCCCTTCTTTAGACCTTGCTTACCGATATTCATCATCTTGTAAAGTGCATCTTTGACCACGTGAATTCCCCTTGAAATCGTGCCCAACGATCAAGGATGCCTCTTAAGATGAATTCCGGCAAGCCTTAACTTCTTTGGTCTTTCTGGGCATCCTCGAGGGACGTTGTCAGCTGGTAAAGCAACTTACCAAATGTTACCTGAAGGAAAAAAATGAAGAAACTCGGTTAGAAAAATGAAGGTCACGACATTATTCATTCTTCTCTCTGTGATTTGTCTTCAAGAAGAATCAATTCGTTTTTCGACATACAACTTCGTCTTCGAAATAGTACCTTCGGCACAATCCCCCTCTCCGCTCTTGGCACAGCGACATCGTAGGAATCGACTTTATCGATTTTCGTCTCTGAGTCTCCACCTTCACCATCTTTGGCGCGTTTTTTCTTGTCTATGGACTCTAGGTCTCGTTTTTCCAACTCTGATTGGTCCGCGGCTTCCTTCACAATCCAGAAATGGTCGTAGATCTTATCCCATTTTTCGAGCATTCTTTGAGCGAGCTTTCGCCTTGTGGCAATGTCTGAGGGGTGGGAGGAGAGGCTTTCATCATGTGCGTAAAGAACTGCCAGTTTTCAGAGAAGTTTAGATTCGAAAAACTGAAATAACCGGGTAACTATTGAAAATAAGGGAGATACTGAAAGAAGAGAAATGTAGTCAAGACTCTCTTATTTCAGTCAGTAGCTCGCTTATTTTCAGTTTTCGAATACTTTAATTTTTATGTCAGTAGAAGAACTAGTAGACGCATCGATGAAAGAAGTACAACTAGCATTTTTAGTACTGACTCAAGAAATAGAAATATCCAACTTGGACTACCAAGTACAACTGTTCTATGGAAGTAAGTACCATATTTCTTCAATTTGCCCGCCAGCTTTTGGAGCTCCTCGAAGCGGATGAAGGTGTGGGCTTCAATTCTTGGTGTCCACCAAGTCTGCTGCCAGATTGCTACGATGATACTTTCGGCGATATCGATTTCAGCGCGCTCATAACGCTCACCGAATTCTTGAGTCTGGTGGTGGTGGTGGTGGTGGTGGTGGTGGTGGTGGTGGTGGTGGTGGTGGTGGTGGTAGCGGTTTGGTTGAGTAGTGAAGGTGAACCAGAACCAGTGTGTTTGAAGAAGACATCAACATAATACTTGATGAACTAAACGAAGATCTACATCATAAATATAAGAGTTGTACCCTCAAAGCATTGAGCATTTGCATAGCTGTGACTCCCTCTGGCTCCTCCTCCTCGGCTTGGAGCAGGATAAGATTTGATATGAAGACGTCGAGTTCCATACCCTGCAGAGCGGCCTGGAGGTAATCACCTGTGTGGACTCAAGAAGAGTTAAGCACGTGGGAAGAATACTGAGTAAGTTCCTGCTTAAGCTTGCTATAGGAAGTATATGCAAGTACCTTTTCCGATGTGAAGGAAGTCGTGGATAAACGTAAAAAGAATACAAAATGGAGATCACTACCCTTGCAAAAGCTTCCATCGTCGAATTCGTGTCCTGTTTTCTCTTTGTACATCTGGGCGCACACTTTGGACCAGTATTTGCTTTTCAGCAGGTTGTCGTATGGCAGTAGCTCGAAACATTGTGGTCCTTAGAAAAGTAATAAAAAACATTGTGGTGACGAATGATTCGTAGCTCGAAACACTGTGGTGACAAATAAGATATTAAAGAGGATCGGTGCTTCTCATACGAAGGAATAGAAGAGCAGCTGAAGCGTCGGGTTTATGAAGGTCGTGGCTCCGGTCCCTTCTACGTCGTGCATCTGAACAATATGGACTCCTTCTATAATTCATCTAGTCTCATCAAACAGTAAATAGAGCCATAAGCCAACACGTTGACATCAACGTCGGATGTGAGACAGCACAAACCTCGAGCTTGCCCATCAACTTCCGCTACGAGGGCTTTGTTCTCCTTGTCCTGGGACTCCATCAACTCCGCAAGGAAATATTCACCGTATATTTCCGTCACGACTTCGGATTGGGAGTTGAAGACCTGTAGGTTTCTTCAGCTGACAGTGAGTCAGAGAGTGCAGTTTCTTCAGCTGACAGTGTCAGTGAGTCAGAGAGTGACTAAGTTTAGAGGTTACCACATTGCATTCTTCACATCATCCCTGACCCTATTCCTAAGTACAATGACTTCATTAGGTCCTCTTTGGTTTGCAATCTGGGTTTCGACAAAGTCATCGTCGCTATCTTCAACTTCATCAAGAAAGTCTCCTTCCGTTGTTCTGGTTGGTACACGACTAAGTACAATCAATATCAACATCAACTGATCACCTCTTCAGTAAACTAGTTATCATCAGTAAACTGCTAGTAAAACTTGTTTCTCTCCTGTAGTTGTAGTTACAGCGAAAAGTTATTCACCTCAGTAAATAACTATCAAAATAGCTTGTAGTTTCTCTCCTCCTGTAGTTGTAAGTAGTTACAGCGAAAGGAAAAATATAGTACCGCCACCAACGCATCATGGTCTTCGCCTCTGGCCATACGGATTTTGAGGCCTTCGATGAACTTATCCTTCTTGGTTCCAAGGACACTAAGGCACTCATCAGACTGGTAGATGCGATTTAGCCAGTCAGCAAGTTCGGTCGACTCCGGAATAGGCGTAAATTCGTTATCATCGCAGAACAGGGTTTTCGGGTGGCCGATGCGCTCGGTCTGTTGTTCTTGTTTGTTGAAAGGATGCAGCAGAGAAGTGAAGGATGGGTGAGGAAGACCTACTTTTTAAGTAACAACATTTGAACAGTTTTAGATTCAGAAAATGAAGATAGAAGCAATGTTGGGTAGAGAGAGAGTGAAAATAAAAAAGAAAGAAGCAGTATGTAGTACTAGCATTCAACTAAAAGTACAAGTACCGCCAAAAGATATTCGACACAGAGTCTTGGCTGGGAGAAAACGAAGGTGCAGATCGCCGCTATCTCCGAGGTTCCGAGGCCGATGTAGTCATTGAACCACAATGTGTTCGCTAGTGTGTACTTATTTGCGTCCACTTGTTCTAACCATTTGTCGGCAGCTATGAGGTTCCTCAATTTCGCAGCGTTTATGCCAGGACAGGCTTCGAGAGAGCAATACCTGTTTATTTTTGATTTGGAGGATGGTCATGGTTGTTTTTATTTTTTGATGGTAGGTCAGGATTGATTAGTTGTCACGAAGATAAGGTTTCTTTCCGTAGGAGATACGTACTTCATGCGGATCGGAAAAAAACTTTTCTTCTACGACTGTAACATAATCTGATCATGATGAAAAAATCAGCCCATAGATATCTATCAGAAGCCTCAGCCCAGTCTTCTAGTACTAGAGAAAAAGAGCAATTATAGGTTGATCCCCAGCAGATGTAAAAACAAGAGTAGTATTGTTTTTGGCGGAGCCGACCTGACTAGAAAAAAGAACGACCCTAGGAAAATAGAAAATTATTAAAAGAGCCGAGGAAGGTAGAGTAGTATTATTATTATTTGTACTTATCATCTTCTAAAACCACCACAGGAACAATACCCAACAATTTCTCCCTTGTCATCTTCGACCACGAGTGTCAAAAACTGGGTGTCGAGACTGTAAGTCACTTCCTTCACGGTGTTGAAGGATGTGGATTTTAGGCCCTTGGCGCTCTTCACGGCTTGGAACAAGTCGCATACTTTCTCTCGATCCCTTTTACCGCTCACGACCCTTCGGACCGAGGGTCCGGATGAGCTGGCCGACATGTTCTTGCTCTCTTCCCGGGGCGTTGGTTCTACTAGAAGATGTTGAGAGCTACTTGTTGTTGCAGTTGTACGTAGATTTTTATGTCACTACATCAGATTGTTGTTCCTTCACGACATTGCATACTGTACGACCTTTCATGTAGATACTACTTCATGATAAGGATCACCTTAAATGCTTGCTACTTTGTACTATGTCGGAGTAGAAGTTTCTGATTCATTCACGATTTTCTTGTTCTCTGCTAGTATAAAAAGATGATGCGATAGTCCACGGTGCGGGGTCATATGCTTTCTTCTCTCAAACAATCCGCTTTACTCTCGAACCGAAACGAGAAACCATCTTTATCGCTTCTTGTTCTCGAGGAGTGCAAATAAGACGAATAAAGAATAGTTAGTATCAACATGATTGGGGTACTAGGACAGAAGGCAACCGATATTGTCACATCAACCGAAGATAGAGAAAACTTTTCCGTACGACAGATTATATTGTCTCCACAACGAGCAGGCTCTTGATCGAGGTCAGTTCTGAAGCCTAACGAACACATCGACATCACTCAGTCGCGTTTCTAGTAGTTCTCTTACGTAGTTTTTTAGGTCTTGAAGAGAACTAACTATGCCAACTGTACTTGTAAATCAATGTTTTGGTTCCACATCCACTTTCTTCCACACAAATAAAATAACTAGAACTACAAAAGTTGAAGTTGATCTTACTTAGATATTAATGGAACAGTGTTTTTGGAGGTGCATTTGATGGTAGTATTTTGGCCGTAAGGTTAAAGTCGATGAAAAAGAACAGACTATGATGCTCTAGTCCAAAATTTTTGGTAGTAGGTAATCGTAACTTTTTTGGTCGTCGTGGTGTCGTGGAGTAGGTACGTAGTCAAGATGAATAACAATATCTGGTGCTATTTTGTGGACTTTCTTAGGCTTTATTGGGAACATAATTCTTGTCGACAACACATTACTTGTTGTTGTACATAATAATGGTACAACCCCATCTTTAATGATGAGCGCCCACGACCCAAAAGAAACTCTCTCATAAGCAAACAAGAGAGAGCAGAACTTTGTTGAGTTGCGTGTCGACTTCTCAGCCTTTCTTCTACTTCTACACTCCAGTCCCAAGTGAATTCAGGTAAGTAGTCTCCTCTAATCTTAGAAGCCGCCTACCGATATAGAAGCTCCAGTCACATATAGTCGAGATCTATAGCTTACGTAAAGTACTTATCTTCAATCTAGTTCCGCCTCGTCTCTTCGGTAGATAAAGATGTTGTTCTCGAACTAGAGGAAGAAAGTTGAAGTTCCTCTTCCTTCTTGTTGCATAATACGAAGTAGGTATCTCTTACAGCTTCTTCATCTTGTACAACGAAGTAGCTACCTACTTGTTCCAGAGTTCAAAGTGTTGATGCAATTATCATGCCTCTCGAAGTTGTAATCAGATAGAGTAGAAGTACCGGCGAGTACCGAGGACGTAGTAGGTACTTCTACGTGTTGGTGCTGATAGATCCAGGATGTTGTAAGATGAAAAACAACAACCTTCCTTAGGACTATAAATGTATTTCCCATAAGAGGCTGATTGAATGCAACTTAGTACTTGTAGTTGGACTACTAACACCGGCGACCTCCACGTAGTTTTTAGTAGATTTCCCACTCAAATCAACATCAATATGCTCTATTGTGTGCTGCGCTTGCTGACAGATTATGTTGTAACTTGGGGTCCTGCTGCCAGCCGATGTTGTACTACCTAGCTCTAGCTCTAGGATCTAGTAAGGACTACTATTTTCTCTGCACCGCTTCCAACTCCTGATCCATCCACCTTTGTAGTCGGTCCTTTCACATCTTTTTCATCATTATATTTTCGCCTCCAGCACCTGTAACATTATCATTGTAATTGTTAAATCTGATCACCTGAGTACACCGTCTGTGCTGAAGATAGTTCATTCATTCATGTACCCAGTCGAGGGGTTTGCAAAGTCCAGGGTCATAGTCAATTCACCGCCTGTTCATTTTATTTTCATGTTAGAGCTCTTACAACACAAGTTCACATCTCATTTTAAAGTAGCTTTCATCACTAGATATAAAGTAGGTGTGGAACAAAGATATCATGTCTAAAGAGATCAGATCTTAGAGCACATCAACATGATGTAGGAAGTATTATAAAGAAGTTCCCTGATGTTTTGTAAAAAGTACGAAGTGAGGAGTATGATAAAGAAGTTCCCTGATGTGTATGTAACAAAAAGTGCCTATTCTTTTCCAATAAAGATGGAAAACGAACCAAAGCTATGATCGAAGTCGTCGAAGAGTCAGAATCCATTCAACAAGCTGTTGGAAGAAACTAACTCTTCGGTTGACATCAATTCCTTTAAAGAACTATCAGAGGACATCATAAAGATGACAAAAATACCTTGGTGGTGTCTAAAGAGCCACCAGGAGGTGAAGAAGTAGAACATATTCAAATGGGACTATTCTAGTGTTTAAAGAGGCACCAGCTAAAGAACATATTCAAATACATAGATACTATTCTGGTGTTTAAAGATTGTAGATCTGTCAGTCCGGGACACCTCCTCGTGGTCCCCAAAGAAAAATAAGAGGACATCTCGACTTCTTCGTCCATATTAGTATAAAAAACGGACACCTCCCTGTCCGTAGAAAGATAGGACACCTCCCTGTCCGTAGAAAGATAGGACACCTCCCTGTCCGTAGAAAGATAGGACACCTCCCTGTCCCCTGTGAAAATCCCGAAAACTTCTTTCATAATTTTCAGCACTCAAGAGAAAGAAATGAAAAGAAAGAATTAGAATTTTGTTGCCTAACTATCACTTCAACTTCTCGGATTTAGATCATAGATAAATCGTCATCCTTCCAACTGCATCCTTAGTACAAGACATTAGTTCATCCGCTGATCATGGACTGCTGCTTACCATCAAACAATCAATCCGTTTGCCTCCACAGGGCACCGACATCCCCGCAGCTGCGCCGACCATGGCCAATATCATGTTGACCGCTTTGGTCACCTCACTTACCACTGCTTCTATAACATCTCCATCACGCTTCAGAGAGAAAAACTTACTGATTATGAGTAGTTGCTACCAAGCATAGTAAAACGTGGACACCCACTTTGTGCTATGATACAACTACCATCCAGGTAGCTACTACTACAGCTAGACTGCTAACCATCCAGGTAGCCCAACCACCCATGATAACCATCCAGGTAGCCCAACCACCCATAATAACCATCCAGGTAGCCCAACCACCCATAATAACCATCCAGGTAGCCCAACCACCCATAATAACCATCCAGGTAGCTTAACCGCTACTGCTCTAGGTAGCTTAACCGCTACTATTGGAGGGATGTCACGAAATGCCAAAACAAGGGCGATAACGAGAAAATATTTTTCCTACTAATAACGCCATATCTGGAAAGAACAGCTGCATGTACATGTTTTGAAGTACTTACATCCTTCATTTGCAAACAACTCGCTTGAAATTGGTCGCTTTATCTTGTTATTTGCACCATGATCATGACACGGAGTGACCCAGTCCCAAACGCAGACGCAGTCATCCGCCTCATCAGTCTCCTACTCCTAAAATATAATATACTACTTCATAGCTCCTAAAGCGCAAGGGAAATGCAGGACATCGAAGTTTTGATAATATCCATCTTCGGAAAATGAAAATGTACTCCATAATTAGCGATAACAAGTCAAGCCAGAAAATCATTTTCAATTTGTTGTAAGAAGTGTGAGTATGTTGATCAAACAGCACAAACTAATTCTCTACCGGTACATCGTTGCACAAAGCTCTGCTAGTATTCCTGACGAGAAACCCTCAATTAATGACGAGCCAGATATCATACCAACGAAAAAAGAAACAACTCTAAATGCATACATCTTACTAGCCGAGGACCAAAGAACAAGAAGATACTCATCATAAATTAGTAATCTTCATAGCACTGCTGTGCTTGAACCATATTCTTACCAAATCAGACACGACTGAGACTTACTGCATAGACGGTTATTGAAGACTGCATTTCTTTTGTAAAACATGTAGTTCATCCAAGAATTCCAAATTATAATTTGTTCGTACTCGGTTGATCACGATGGTGCGATCCGTCGAAAAAAATAGTACAAGAAGCCACCACTTCACGTCGTTGTGATTCTTAGTCGTCAACGCCGTCTTCCGCTCGAGCTAAAGCAGGGCTCTAAGAGTAAGACGAAATAAGGTATGACAAATAAGCACTCCAACTCCATCAGGTGGGAGAACTCTGTACTACTTCTTTCTGAAGATAGAACCAATGGGATTTAACGAGCAGACTTGTCCTTATTCATGTTCATCTCAATAGAACAACCATAGAACTACTTCTTTTTTTTTTGACATAGGGCAGCTAGACAACGTGGTACTACGGTTTTCTGATAGAACTAGACAACGCACTACTTCTCTCTATTAGAGCAACTACATATCCACGAGATAGACACTTGTTCTTGCTCCTAAAACAAAAAGCCACCGCGCAAGATGAAAGATAGATCTTCATAGTAAAATATCAAGGATAATGAAATAAAATACCATCACGATTACCAAGCCTCTAGTGACACTGTCTTCATTCATTCATTTACCTAGCACGAGGTGTAAGTCCAGAACTTAATTCGAATGCATTAGAAAGTAAACAAAGGCAGGCTTTCTACTTCTGTTGACATCAACATTTAGTCATCTAGTACTACATGTAGAATTGCTACTAGATCGTCTTCAGGCAATAAACTCCTGAGTAACCAATGATCTAGAACAAGCAAATCTTTTCTACAACTGAAATGGTCCTTGCCGCACATCTTCTACCAGTCATCCCCCCTTTCGGATTATAGGATACAAGTGAGCTCGCCTACGGAGAAGTGAGCATCCACCCCCACCAGTAACTTTATACGACTACTTCCCTGAGTTGCAAGGTGGAGGTGAGAAACGATTTACTCCTCGATGCAGAAGTCCCCAGAGTTTGTAGGGGAATCACTACACTAAAAACTGATCCCCGGTCCGATTGAAAAGTAGATAAGTAAGTACGTGGTTGAAAGAAAAGAAAACGTTCTTGCTGAAAACAACTCATACATGATGGGATGAAGAGAGTGACGCTCTCACTAGCTTCGTTCTCTGAAAGCCCACACTCTTCTGAACCCGAAAATGCGGGCCCAAGAATTGTTAGGGTCGTACAATCAAGCAATACGCAATTTAGATTTAGATTTAGATTTTTCTAGCTTTAGATGCAGAAGGGCACCCGCCTCAGCCCTCCGCATTAAGCAGCGGCTCGGCAGAATTTCACTTGGCAACACAAACATAACGCGGCAACAGTTCTTTTTAATACTGGTAATTGAATTTCAATGTAAATAACGCCAATTCTTCTTAACCTCCTCTGCTGACGCGTCACTTGTAAGCAAAGAAGGCACGCCTCTTCCTTTAAGTTCAAACATCTTCAACATACTAGTATCTATATATTGCATGTAGGTGGGATACGCCTAGGTTATGAGGGAAAACGACATTCTCCGAGTATAATACATATAATCTACAACTACGGAGGTCTAAACATTCTCTGTTTCCACGTCTTTCTCGTTGCTGATTTGCGCGACTCACGGATGCGACTCACCAACTAGGTCTAGAATTCGATCTGCATTAGCATTATTTCTCCATGGCAATTCTTTATGGCAATAGAAGAGGCCAATATCAAAATAAATGCTGGTGCAGAGATGCCTAGTCTGACTATGAAAAAAAATATTAAAGATGAAGGCTGTTGACATCAGTATTGCAACACCCGTCTCGTGCTCGTCAAAGATACGGGTGTAGTTGCAATCGTTGTACCTAGCTAGCATGAAAAAGATATCAATCGTAGATGAAAAAAGTTTTCAAGATCTCCTAACCCGCTACCGGTCGTGATCGGCGGTGAGTCAGAGTCACTCCTTCTAATTGTGGGATGGATTTATTAGATACTCTTCACATCTTCGTCGTGAAGATTGCAATTGACCACTGCGATACATTCATAAGACTCTACGCACGTAGTTCTCATCAGACAGCACGACATTGATGTCATGTGAAGATGGTGTCTCTACTCAGAGGACTCTCTTACTCTTTCTAAAGAATGTAGCAAACTACCAGGTCGTGAGGTCGATGTAGTAGTACTCGACAAATCTCCAGAGCGGAGGAAGTCGCACGACCACCAACCTGGGCAGCTGTGTTAAGTTCTGGATTTAAGATTTAATGGTGAAATTCTAGACAGTCTTGAGTCCTCCTCTTTCTACATGATTTAGTAAATACTATCGTTACTCCTTCCTCCTCCTCCTCCTCCGTTTCCTAGTGCCACTTTTTTATCCCCCAATACCTTCCTCGACAAATTGTTTTGATTTGAAACTCAACAATATTTCCCCTCCGCCCATTCCTAGTCCTCCCCCTCCTTTTTATACACCACAGCAATTACTAATAGATGTATAAGTACATAGTTTGATAATTATAGAATTCAACTTCCTCTTCGTTCTAGCGCATCCATGAGTAGTGAAAGGGACTCCTCGTTCGACTGCGCTTCCAACAAGCTCGAGAGAGCCTGCACTAATGTGTGTCTGTCCCCTCCTGCATCGCTTCCACCAGGAGCTGTAGAGGTATTAGAAGATGGGGAGATGTCGTCGATAGTTCATTTCCATTTTGACTTTCCAACTTGTTCACAGACACAGTAAACCCGAATTCATAATTTTCCGAAGGTCGTAAGTACTTTCTTCAGACCGGAAGAACCCACGACAACATCAGAAGATTCATCTCATTTTGATCTACTGATTATCGTTTACCTGACAGAAACTATAATCAATAAAAAATCTTGATCTTCTTCAGAGCAGGGATTTAATCGAAATGATCATGAGCACGTCCGCCCTTAATATTGGTTGTGCGCGTTGCTCGAAGACTGCCCGTTCCCAGAGAGAAGGTGCTAGCTGCTGTACTATGATTGTGAAGCGCAGTTCTTGTGCCTCCTTTTCCTGTCCTTCCACTCGTACTATTTGCGTTTGGATTTGCATTCCCTCTTCAAGATTAGAGCGTCAGAAACTCGCATGAGATATAATTTGAAATGGCTTCGAATGCGACAAAGGCTGAAAGGGCGAGTGACTGACGCAGCGGGCGAGGTGTTGCATGACGAATAAGAATAGGGCGTGGAGGGAAAGAAAGAAAGGAAACACGCTCGAAGACTGCCCGTTCCCATAGAGAAGGTGCTAGCTGCTGTACTATGATTCTTCAGAACATTCCTCACCTCTTTCCTACTGGAAAAAGTAGAGTGCGGAATGGTTGCGGGGGATGTAATTGATTAACCCTTAAATAATTAAGTTGTTCCAATATGATAGCAATCTGAAGCACGAAAATGGCAGCAGATTATGATTTTAGTTTGATTGCAATGTACAATGTGTTCACGGGGGAGAAGACGGGCGACGAGGTAGAAGACGAGCAATAAAGGTACTACTTCTACTATTTCTACTATTTATTCATATTAGGAAACGTCATGATCAAATTGTAGGCCTTAAAGATGTGATGGGCGGTTTTCATCCGCACCTCCTTGGGGGCCACGAGTACCGGAGGGTGGTCTTCCATTTCCACCAACAAGAACTTCTTGTCCTCCATCTTCATTGGTTGTAGCCGAACCAGGTAAAATTAGGGGTTGCAAGTTGACAAAGCTAGGTTGCAGATCTAGTATGACTTTCCTGCTTGAAAAAGTCATAGACATGCTTACAGATGAATGGTCCTGGTATTTGGTAACCTGAGTTTGATCCTAAGGGAAAACAAGAAGAGAACCCTTAGGATCAAATTCAGGTTACCAAATACCAGAACCATACAACAGAGAGGTCAACTTTCCACCCTTCATAAAAGTCCGATAGGACGCGCCAAGTCTTCCAATGCGCGATCCTGTTCACGACTGTTCACGACGTTATCAAAATCTGTATCTGCAGTCCGTGTCCTTCCATAATCATCCACACCACGACCTCCATGACGGCTTGCCTCGTCATATCCACGAGGATTATACTCCATCACCCGATTTCCACCGCCCACACCACGGGGTCCACCATCTCTCACCTGCTGGTTGTTGTCATAGTTCGAATTTGCATTAGTTCTTGAATTTGTTCCGTAGCTATTCTCTGCGTGGCTATCAACATCATGTTCTTGGAACCGGTTGTTGTAGCCTGCTCCTGTACAAGTGGTTCTATTTTGCGGCTCGTGGTTATAGAATCCAGTGCCATCTTGAACGGGAGCTCTTCCTTGTCGACGCTGCAGAAGTGGTCCTTGCATCAATCCAGTCTGAGTACTATGAGTACTAGCATAGCTTCTCCTTCTCTCCTGCTGCCATGAACTCTGTGGCCTTCCTGAAGACGATTGCGGTTGGTCAATAATCCCGGGACGACGAGGGCCATCTTGCGGCGGCCGGTGTCTCTGTTGGTCAATAATCCCGGGACGACGAGGTGGGCCAAGAACACCTCGAGGATCTGCTGTAGTGGCACCTCCACGCTGCTCGCTGCCTCCACCACGAAGTAGGTCCTGCATGGTAGTTGTATCTGTATTGCGTCCCTTAAAGGTGGGCATTCGTTGGTCACTGATTCTGAACGGAAAAGACCACCTCCAAAGCTCTCCCCTTTCCCTTCACTTTCCCCTGTTCTCTCAGGGGGCCTCGTCTTCGGTGTCAGTGACCCCAAGCTGAAAGAATGGTGACCAATGAAAGTTGAGCCTTAAGTCCCCCTTTGATGTTACGCGAGAACTGGTCTTTCGAATCAAAAAAACGTCCTTTGTCCATCGTGCCGTCGCTTCCGCCTGCTCGAACATAATTTGACGAAGCTGCAGACGATGTGCGACTATTTGCGGTGCGATTCACGCCACCACTACCACCCATTGTTCCCTGCTCGCTTCTAGCTTTAATACCTGCTGCGCGACCCACCCGATTATAATTGCTGGTCCTGCTGTAGTTGTTGAAGATACCTGGTGATGCTGTGCTTAGCATGTTGCGCTGCTCGTGCTGTTGATACCCGGCGGTCGTGTAATCACGAGGACCCTGATGATATTGCAGCTGTCCTCGTCGGTCTTGTGTCAAGTTCGTCCCCTGTTGTTGTTGAGTCCTCAAGCTGTATGCATTTTTATGGTAATCATCCAAAGAAGTACCACTACGATCATTCATCGATCGGCTATCGCCTGACGCCGATGTAGTCATGGAAGTTGCATGATAGCTTCCTTGATAGTACTTGTCAGACGAGTTTGAGGACCACGTGCTATTAGTAATAGCCCTAGTATGCTCGTACGCCGCATTGAAATTCGGTCCTCGTCTGTCGTGTCTGTCGCCGCCTCCTCTGTCGTCTCCTCGAGAAAAACGGCCCGGCGCCCGAACGAGATGATCTTCATTATAGTTCTTGTCATCCAGACGAGTTGGAGCAGTAACAGGTGAAGCTGGACCTCTGTCTCCTGCTTCTCTAGGACCTCCTCCTCGTCTACCGATGGTCGTGTTATAGAAGTCTACTGCAGCTCCACCAGTGCCACGTGTGGTTCTGTCCTCGTCGTGGTCGTGTTCTGCACCAGAAGTATAATTGTCCTTATAATCATGACGTCTACTTCTTCTAGGCTGTTGCTGGCGCTCCTGTCCACCACCAACCTGTCCACCTCCGTCCTCACCTCGGCGAGATGAAAGTAGATCTATTGCTCGATGTCCTTCTCGTTCTGTGAATCCTGGAGGCGACCACAGGTGCTCACTCTGGGAACGCAAGAACTCTGGAACACCACGACCCCAAGACGACGCTGCAGAACTTGCCACTTCGCAATGTGACTGTTGCGAAGAAGGCAAACCACAACGAGAAGTATCATGTTGACTATCTTTACCACCAGCACCACGGCGACAGTTGTTGGAGGCTCCTGAGGACCTTAAAAACATGGGGGGTTGTCCTCCTGCTCTACTACCTCTCTGGCGATGCTGTCCTCCTGCGTCGTCTAGATGGCGAGGCGGATGTCGTTAGATCTTCCCGGAATCCATCCTGAAAAAAGCCATCCTGGGTGACTAAGTACAGTTTTACCTTAGGTGTTTACTTATTGAGAAGTCCCAGTCCCAGGAACCTTCTCGAGATGGATTCTGCTCTGTAGATGAAGCCTTAATATCGGCCGTCCTCGTCTCC